AGGCATACAATTACCTGTAAAACCCCTTTTGTGATTTATAAAATTTCTTGCCCTTGCGGTTTAATCTACATTGGCAAAACGGACACACCACTCTGTGAACGTATACGGGGACATCGGTCCAATATTAGGACAGCCTACAGAGATGGCCACTCTGATAAACCGGTTGCCAAGCATTTTTTGGAGAAGGGACATTCTTTGGCTGCCCTTAAATTCACTGCTATTGATCATATACCACAACCTCCTAAGGGAGGAGATCGGAGTAGATTATTGCTGCAGAAAGAATCATATTGGATTTATGAACTGAATACTGTGTCGCCTAATGAACTGAATGAGTTATTATCTTATCATCCCTTTATATAATCTCAACCTGCATATATATATGAATTCGTCTTAACAAAGTATTTTGGTACTGTAATTCTAGTTGAATTGGAGTACATACGTTTTTGGACCTCATGTTATTCATTAGATGTATATTGAGGTGCTAATATTGCACCTATGTTATAGGAGTAAATAATGATTTGAGATATTGCATGATAAATTTGATTCAAAAGAATACTAGTCATACCGTTTAAATTTACGCTTATCTAATGATTTGTGTATATATATGAAATATGGGATAATATCTGGTAATTTTCTATTTTGTAATTCAACAAGTTTACTTTAATTCAATGATCTTGCAATACTGTTGGGTCCATAAGCGTGTGTACCTATTCTATCTATTTTGTTTAAATGATACAGTTGTATCAAGAGTTTCTTGTATGGCACTTGGTGTTTACACTTTGTTGCAACTTCTATTTCGGCAGTTTGCGGCGTGGGTATGTTACTATGGTAACCGGGTCACGCACGGTTTCATTACTTCCGGGTTGTGCTTGTTAACGCATGCGCACTTTGTCAGTAGAGACGCCGGTACACTGCATGTTATCATCTGTGGTGAGTTAATTTTTCTTTTTATGGGTATATATTTGAACACTGTGATTCAATGTTTTATTGTCAATTCACCTTGAGGAAAGCCCCGGACGAGAGCTGAAACGTCGGTGCGATGAATATATGATATGCTTTGAATAAAGCGATTTTTTCTAAACTTCAAGTCCGTGAGTGCAAGCTATTTCATATATGTGTATATATATATATATATATATATATATATATATATATATATATATATTTTTTTTTTTTTTTAAATGTCTACCTAAAAATATTAAATAATTTAAAAAGCTTATCCAAAAATATTGAATTAAGGGCAATGGCTGGAAATGATCTCTAGGGAGTCAAGTGGCGATCTTTTCATAATAGACATGAATGTGAAAGAGGTATGTTACAGGGCTAAAGTGTTTTAATGAAATTCTGACATTTGTATAATGTCTACAAATGTTTCTTGAAAACAGCAAAATTATTACACTCTACATTTAAAAAGAACTCTAAGCAACATAACTCCTTCTATATAACTAGAGAAGACCTTGACATCACAAACCTGTCTCTTTAAAAAAACTTCTTTGTAAAAACTTCTTTTGGAGCACATTCTCCAAAGCAATTACGAAATCATAAAGAGCTAAAACAACGCAAATATAACAACTTAAGCACCTTTCGTCATTGAAAGAACTTGATACTGAAAGTCTGGAACCGACTTGTAAAAATACGCAACTTTTACAATCAAACTGCCTTCTATCACACACTACTGCAAATTTAATTTAATTGAATTTGCTAAATTTGGTGGGACCATATTTACAGGCAGACAGCTTTCAATCCTAATAAAAGTTACAACTGCAAAAAGATGTCAGTGTATCCATTAGCCAAGTGCTGTGGAGAGAGGGTCAAATACATCCTAATGATTCTAAGTTAATAATTTCATAAATAGGTTTTATATTAATATTTTCTACATATTGATAATAATAAAAATAAAATCCCAATTAAAATTACAAACTGAATGTCAATTAGAAATGTAATATATTAATAATGTAATTATATTTAGTACATTTTTATCATATTAATTTTTTTAATTATTGTAAAAATTTGCGCACTTGCTGACTGTGGGCTAACGGTTTCTGTTGCATAACCTGCAAAATCAGGCGATTTAAATATTTTGCAAACTTTTGTTTGTTTATATTGAATCTAATTGCAATGTGTTGTTTGCTAAATATGCTATATCTATATTTTATCATGGGATATTTGCTTATTTTATTAAACTAATGGATAGTATTGCATAAAATGTGTTGATTTGAATGACGTAATTCTATTGGAATGTGCACACAAGAAATATGAGAACTATAGAAACATGGAATGTGATGGCAGATAAGAACCATTCGGCCCATCTAGTCTGCCCAATATTTAAAAATTATTTTAATTAGTCCCTGGCCTTATCGTAAGTCTAGGATAGCCTTATGCCTATCCCACGCATGCTTAAACTCCCTCACTGTGTAAACCTCTACCACTTCAGCTGGAAGGCTATTCCATGCATCCACTACCCTCTCAGTAAAGTAATACTTCCTGATATTTTTAAACCTATAAGTTCTGTGAGAATTAAGTCAGTATAACCAAAGTTAACCCCTTAACACCGTTACGGCGTTCTATGCCATCCCCATTATAATGGGCTTTAAAGCCGTTGCGGCGGCATAGAACGCCGTAACGGCTGAAGCCCCCAGGAGGTGAGATTTACTTACCTCCGCCGCGATCCTCTTCGGGAGGACTGCCTAACAGCCCAGGCAGCTCTCCCACGACAAATGAGGCCCCCAGGGGCCATGTGATCGATCTCAAAGAATGATCAAATGGCCCCCTATAGCTGGCTGTGGATCTGCTAGCAGGGGGACTGTCTGAGCTGTCAGACAGTCCCCCTGCTGGTGGGAAGTGTAAAAAAAATATAAAACATGTTTTAAAATAAATTAAATGTATTTCTATATATATATCTTATATATATGTAACATCATACATAGTGTATTTTAATGTTAATAGAAGCACATATATTAGTATTAAAATACACTTAGGATGACGTTACATATATATAAGATATATATATTATATATATAATACATATATATTTTATATTTATATATACACGTATAATTACAATAATAAATAAATAAAATAATAAGATAAATAAATTAAATATTAAAAAAAATTAAAATAACATATATGCATATGTAATTTCATTCTAACTGTATTTTTTTATTAATATATATATATTTTGGTAACAAAATACACTTAGAATGACATTCTATAAATATCTATCTATATATAAAATACAAATAACTGCAAATATATATATACAGATAAATATATATAATTACATAAATAACTACATAAGTGTACACGTAGACTTTAAATACATATATATGTATATATATTAAAATTCTACGTGGTATATTTAAGTAATATTTTAACGTAATTATATGATTTAATTAGTTAAAATTTGATTGACATGCCTGACAACCCAGGCAAAAAGTGCAGAGAATTTGAATTGCAAGCACTATATTTAACATTATAACTTTCCAGTACACCATAAAACCTGTACATGGGGGGTACCGTTTTATTCGAGAGACTTCGCTGAACACAAATATTAGTGTTTCAAAATGGTTACTTGTATTACAACAATGATATTTTTTGTAAAAGTTATGTTTTTTGCATTTTTCGGGAGACTTCGCTGAACACAAATATTAGTGTTTCAAAACAGTAAAATGTATTACAAGGATGATATCGACAGTAAAAGTGAAGTTTTTTGCATTTTTCACACACAAACAGCACTTACACGGACGATATTATTTCTGTGATACTTTTTACTGTTTTGAAACACAAATATTTGTGTTCAGCGAAGTCTCCCGAGTACAACAGTAGCCCTCAAGTACGGGTTTTATGGTGTTTTCAAAAGTTACAGCGTCAAATATAAGGCTTGTGTTTCATTTTTTTCACATTAAAATGGTAACCCTATGGTAGCCCAAGAATGAAAATTACCCCTATGATGGCATACTATTTGCAATGGTAGACAACCCATTGTATTGCAAATGGGGTATGTCTAGTCTTTTTTAGTAGCCACTTAGTCACAAACACTGGCCAAAATTGGCGTTTTTTTGCATTTTTCACACACAAACAAATATTAATGCTAACTTTGGCCAGTGTTTGTGACCAAATGGCTACTAAAAAAGACTGGACATACCCCATTTGCAATACCTTGGGTTGTCTACTATTGCAAATGGTATGCCATTATGGGTGTAAATTTCATTCCTGGGCTACTATACAGTCTCAAAGGCAACGTAACCAATCTGGCGAATTTCAATTTCAAATGTAACGTGCTATATTTGACCCTGTAACTTCCCAAAACGCCATAAAACCTGTACATAGGGGGTACTGTCTTACACGTGAGACTTTACTGAATACAAATATGTGTATTTTATTGCAGTAAAAGCAAACAGTATTATGACATTGACAGTTAAAATGTCATGTAGAACTAAAAAAAAAAAAAAATATTTTCTCCCATTTTTTCATATTAAATTGTTTCATAGCTAAATATTTGATATTAAATGAAAGCCCTGTTTCCCCTGAATAAAATGATATATAATAAGGGTGGGTGCATTTAATATGAAAGAAGTGAATTACGGTTGGACAGGCATGTAGCGCAAACAGTAAATTCAGTACATAGAAACCCACATTTCAAAATCTAGGCAGAAACGTGTTCAATATCCTCCAATATTGCTGCTTATTGAATAAGCCTCATAGCTGACTTGGACAATTTCGACAATTCATTTTGCGCTAAAATTTCAGTACTAGGGGTTTTAAGTCAAGGTACGCAGTGTGTGTGTAGTATTTAGCGCTCTCAAACCCAGCGCATGCGCATTGCCATTTCAGGCCGATAGAACACGTGTTCTCCGCGCAGAGCCTCGTAGCGAGCCGCCAGGTCTCCTACCAGCCTCATCGTTCATTCTGCGCATGCCTGCCAGCTTCCGTAACTACGCATGCGTGAGCGCAATAATTTTACTATTTATTTAAAAAAACAAAAAACAAAAGCTAACACCCTGTATATGGAATAATTCCCAAAGTACTACATTGTACAGGGCTTTCTAAGCAGTTTTGGTTAGCCTGTCTCCTGTGACCTTTGACCTGTAAGGCCCCTGCTCCTTTCCATTGGCGGCCCCGTCCCTCCCTCTTTCTCTCGGTTCCGGATTACAGGAGCGTGCACATCGTTTCGTGTCTGTTACAGACTTAAAAGTGAGTGAAATGCGGTTATTACCGGCTTTCTGCCCATAACGAGAGGCCGAGCCCCCCGAGAACACACAGAGCCGGTGTCAGGACCCCAAATAGCCGGGTTTAGCCTTTATTATGGCTTGTAGTGAGCTTGGGGCTGCCTGAGAGTTGGGGCTGGGTGATCACACCATGCAGAGTGGGGAGTTCTATTCAGAATCCTCCACACTAAGGCTATAATAGGCAAGATTCTGCCAGATTGGCCTTCTAGGCTAACATTGTCATTTATCTTTCTGTTCTCAACTATGTTTTCCCTTTTAATAGGATTTAATCCCCAGCCAAGCGGAAATTATATACAGACCCCATTTTATGAAGTTTAAAGGGGACTTTTCATGCAGTTCATAACAAATGCTCTTTTAAATCACCTTTAAATTCTATTTATACATTGTGCAAAAGTGTTTTGGCGTGTATTCTTTCTTTTGCGTTGCTAATATGGTGCGCTGTAAAAATATACTAAAAACCATAAAATACATTTGGAGCATCTCTGTTATCATACCATCTCCCAAGGCCAGACGCTGCCATGATGTGGTTAGCTAGGAGGCGCCTACTCGCTAACACCATGGACTGCAGCAAATTAAAATCTGTCGTGCAGGGCACGGGCACTCACTGTGTCCAGGATTTTGTTATCCCTGTAGCACTCTAAGTACTCTCACACTGTATACCTACATTACAGGGGCTGGCCATGGGTAGGGATTTATTCCTAGTAACTGGCTGTATCCCAGATTACATAAAACAATGTCAGTGCCCAGTGCAGCCCACAGTGGGAGACAGTAAGACCATCTCTAGCTTGTCCTCTATTGTAAACTGCTAGTCTCATAATGCTGAGCCGCACATCTGTGCCTCAGACTTGCTGTGACGCTCAGCCAGACATGTTGGGCCCATAGATAAGGCAGTCCTTCCATGAAACATGTATAGTGCCACAATGTTGGCCTCCATGGAATATATGTACAGCTCATCCCTCTTCCTGGTGGGGATTTTCTGGACGCCTGTTTATTTTTGCACTCCTAACGTGAAGTCAGTATTTTTAAAGTTCTGATGCTTATCTAGTTAATCCTTTAGGGAGGGAGGGGGACGAGTTATGGTAAAAGTGTATTTTAATAATGACTGTTAATAATAAAATACGCTATATGCTTTGAGTAAAATTGAAAAATAATAAAATACGCTATAGTACACTTTTACCCAGATCTGTTGGTACAGGGCTTGACAAATTTGTTTAATATCTAGGAGCCAGCTAAAAAAAGTTAGAAGCCAGTCAATTTCAACGAGAAAATGCAGTTCTTAAAGGGACACTATAGTCAGCAGAACCACTACAGCTTGATGTAGTTGTTCTGGTGTCTATAGCATGTCCCTGCAGTAGTTTCAGTGTAAACACTGCCTTTTCTTTGAAAAGGCAGAGTTTACATTGCTGCTTAGGAACACCTGTAGTGACTCACTCAGATGGCCACTAGAGTGTCCTTGGGTCACTGCTGCACCATGTGCAGCACCCAGGTTCAGTGTCTCCAAGCTCTGCATGGAGGCACTGAATGTTCCTCATAGAGATTCTTTAATTTAATGCATTTCTATGAGGAGATGTGGATTGGTACATTTGCTGCGCATGCACAAAATCCTATTGGCTTAGCTGAGAAAATCAAGATTAATCTCAGCCATGGCGAAACTGGCACGGCGTGGGAAAATGGGGGGGGAAGGTGAGTACAAACAAATTCCTCATGTGATCGGAGGACAGGCTCACATACACACTCACGCTGACAACAGGCTTGCATGCACACACACTTTGACAGGCTCTCACACAAAGGCTGACCACAGGTTTGCACGCACACACTGACAGTATTTTGCAGGCTTTGCACATGTGTGGCAAAATGCTGCCTTACTTGAATCGGCATTTATTCATAGAAATGCATTGAATCAGTATACCTCTATGGGGAGCATTCAGTGTCTCCTGTCAGGGTATTTATATCGGCAGACATTTTGTGCTATGATAGAAACTAAAAGTGTATATTCTGAGTCACTCTGAACAGACCAGACTCCATTTTGTTATTCCAAGTTAACAAAAAAAGACACAAGATTTCTTTCTGTAAGACTAGCCACTTTGCCAGAGCTAAGGAATGCATAGTATAAACAAGTGATAAGAAGAATATAATCAATTCTAAACCCAGACAATTGTGACAGAGAAGATTAAATAATAAAATTTAACTGTCTATAATATATATATATATATATATATATATATGTATATGTACCATTGTATGGAAAAGGGTAAACTTAGTTCATGATCTGCCATATCAGAAATTATGGCAGGAATTGCAGACGCTAGGTCTGGACAAAATTTAAGAAACCCTTTGAAATTTTAAGTTATGGCACTATAAGGATAACGCAAAATAGCCACCAGGAAAAGTTAACTCTTTCCTGGATGGGTATGTTTAGTGGGACAAGACTGCCCTCTATAGACTAAATACCTAAATTGCGTTCTGGAAGATAACCACACCTCTAGTGCTTCTATTGGGTTATCAACTGATGACGTACAGAGAGTCTGGCCCTTTAAAAGTTAAGACAAAGGGAACATAGAGGAGACGAGATATGCAGGGTATGCAAGAGATGCAAAGGAGAAAGGAAAAGAGGAGAGAGGAATTGGAAGTTTGGGGACTCCAACCTCCATGCAGAGAGACATCCAAATAAGTTCCTGAGACTACCAATCGGATGAAATATCTACTCAACTGGTAATTATACTGGTTTCATTTAATTAATTAAATTAATTAAAATGTATTAATAGCATTATATATGACTGGATAAAGCACGGTCAGATTTCCATATTAAGAAATCTTAGTTAACTAAGAATATATAGTTATAAACATTCCATTCTGCAGGTGGAATTAAGAATAATTATATATTGATGTGATATTATCACGTGTTAGCATACCGCTGTTTTTATCCAGGTGTATTGATTTGCTCTAAATTAAGATAAGATATCTTTTAGACAAATTAAAATCTGCTTATATAATATGGTAGATTCTCTTATTGGATGGTTCCAGGAAATGACTAATGAACTGGTTTAAATGTTATTTTATTTAAAAATTACATAAGAATAGATCTTAACTACCTAGGAGATCTAGCCAGCATTGAAAGGGTTATTCTAACTGTCAGCTAAACTTTACGACCTTACGCTGCACTCTGAAGAATTCTGTTCTCTGAGTGAAACTTTTTCAGTCTGTGAGGATACCTCATAAATCTCAGAATTCTTGACAGGAAATGCTGTTCAGAGTTAATAGCCATTGAAACGTAATACCCATTCCTTTGTATTGCATATCATTTTATACTGGATATTCATTGATTATTGTCACGCATGTTACATATTATTATTATTATTATTAATTAGTCATTATAAATAAAAATCTATTTTTATACATTGTGATATTAATTATATGAAATACTTTCACTTACGATAAACGTTCTTTGGGATCTGAGAATTGAATTAGTGGGCAATTCTCACTGTTACTATTATTATCCCATAAATATCCCCACACTCCATGCTCTGGCTCCACACTGTGCAGTACTGGACTAGGAAGCACCTGTAGTGGCCGTCTGAGCGACTACCATTAGAGGTGTTCTTAGGCAGCAATGTAAATACTGCCTTTTCTCTTAGTGGTTCTGGTGACTATAGTGTCCCTTTTAAATATAAGCAAGGTGATCTTGTTGTGAATTTGTTCACATAAATATTAATTTAAGATACCCTATCAAGAAGTATAACCAGCTTCTGTAAAGTTTAATTAAAGGACCACTATAGTGCCAGGAAAACATACTCGTTTTCCTGACACTATAGTGCCCTGAGGTGCCCCCACCCTCAGGGTCCCACTCCCGCCGGGCTCTGGGGGGTGGAAGGGGTTAAACTTACATCTTTCTCCAGCGCCAGGCGGGGAGCTCTCCTCTTCCCTCTTCTTCTGTCACCAGCTGAATGCGCATACGCGGCAAGAGACGCGCGCGCATTCAGCCAGTCCATAGGAAAGCATTCACAATGCTTACCTATGGACACTGGCGTCTTCTCACTGTGAAAATCACAGTGAGAAGCGCGGAAGCCCTCTAGCGGCTGTCATTGAGACAGCCACTAGAGGCTGGATTAACCCATTTACAAACATAGCAGTTTCTCTGAAAACTGCTGTTTATAAAAAATAAAAAAAAAGTTAAACCTAGCTGCACCTGGCACCCAGACCACTTCATTCAGCTGAAGTGGTCTGGGTGCCTATAGTGGTCCTTTAATCATTCTACTGTTCTGTTTGTACAGGTGAAAAAAAATCTTTTCATGGTGTTGTTAGTAACTGTTGCAGCATTATTGAATCAGGCAACACACAATAACATCATGTTTCAGCTTTCTGTACACAAAGCATTCTGTAATTTCCATCGTGCTTGGATTCTGTCTTACTAAACATAATGTGGATTAGGTCTGTTCATAAACTATTTAAAGTGACAGCCTAAGTAGCAAAATCACTTTATCTAAAAGAAGTTATGTTGGGCATAGATGCTGTCAGTGCAGTTGGAAACAGTGCTATTTCATCACATAGATTGGCTGTGTTCATGACCACTATGTGAAATATAGTACAGTCATGGCAATAATAGTTAGAATAGAATCTACTTGAGACAACACTGTATGAAAGGCATTTTTATTGCAAAATAACATTAACTTAACTGTTTTTTGTTTTATTTATTGTAGAATGCGTTACGTGGCCGCTTACCTCCTTGCTGTCCTTGGTGGCAACAACAGCCCCTCAGCCAAAGATCTGAAAAAGATCTTGTCCAGTGTTGGAATTGAGGCCGATGATGAACGTGTCAATAAGGTAAGCTGCCAAAATGACAACCTCTTTCAAGGTCATTCTAACTTTTATTAATCAACCAACTTCAATCATTGTTGCTTTATAAGCATTACAGCTTTTACAGTATGTGAATAGGAATGTTATTCCTTACTGAAAATGTGATCAAGTAAAGCAACAACACATAGGTTGTGATCCTTAACACTATATTGATTTTGGTGCCAGGTGTGCTCTGATGCACCCCATTGTAACTAGTCAAACCGTTTTAAAACAGTTTGACTTCTTATATGTTTGCTTGGCACTGCTCTCAACCTCCACCACATCCAACAGAGAGCTGATGGCTCCTGCTTAGTATTTTCTTCTGGCTTTCCTGAGCTAAACCCTGAACCGTTAGGTTCTAAACAAGTTTAACTGCTTACATAGGGGCAATCGTAACTTTATAAATTACCTTAGTCAACGAGACATCCGAGAGGTGTCCTACCTCCCTTGCTTTGAGCTATAGTTCAAAGCAGAAGTGAATGTTTTACATAGTCATTGTATTCGCTTATGGCGGCATATGTCCCTGTCACTTCTGGGAAAAGCAATGAGTACTCGATTGGACATAGATCATTAGTATTGATGATCTGCATAGAGTTTAGTTCATTAGCTTTTTAATTAATACACTGTAGTCGTGTTTCCATAATATCCATTTAGCAAATGTATGCATTTTTCTTCTAGGACACTAGATGGCAGGTTAAACTAATGTGCTTTTTTTTCCGTCCTGTGAAAGATAATCATGTCAATTCTAACCAATTTTAAAACGGGGATAAGGCATTATATAGCAATGAAAAAATGATTCTCTCTCTCTTGTAGATTATCAGCGAACTTGGTGGAAAGGACATTGAAGATGTCGTAAATTCCGGTAATACTTTTATAAACTTTGTTTGGGGGGGTTATTTTTTGTGTTTATTAAGCAATTGTGTACTTCTCTATTATTGGGGGTTAGGTACAGTAGTTTTGCACGTTTAATTTTAAGAATATTCAAAAGGCATACATAACATTTGTTTCTCTCCTCTAAACTTGTTTGTCAAAAGAAAAAAATCCTAGAATAAAAATGTTGTGTTCTTTATAGATGCTAATTATTGTTTGCAGAGTACCTTTAGTGAAAAAGCATGATGGCTGCTTTAGTTACCCGCATCCACTTTACTGCTACTTGTAAAGAAAGATATATGTTTCACATGCAGTTAGCACATACATGTTATATAAAAATCTAACTTGCAACCACCAATCTTTTTAAAGAAGCTAAACATAAAACAGATTTGTGTGGATTTCCCAATTTGTTAGAAACCTGTATGCTGGTTTGAAGCTCCAGAACGTGCTTTCCCTTTGTTGTTCTTACTGACAGTCTAAAACCTGTTTTGAATTTTACTCTTCAGAATTCCTCTCCATAAACTCCCGTGTTCTTCAGATACTTCATTTCTGATTTGTATTAATCGACTGTTAAATTGATATCCGAACAATTTGACAAAAAAAACACCAAATATATTTCCAGTTGGCTAGTGGATCTTGGCAAAAGCATTTCCCTGTTCGTTTATATTCTAATCGCTAGTCATGAATGATAAATGTGCATATCTTTCTACCCACTGTAATTTATAAATGATATATGCAGAAGAAAATACACCTAACGTGTCTATTTTTATATTATTCACCAAATGAAGTGCACTTGTATGACTGGCAGCAATCACTGCTGACTTCAGTAGTCCTTTAGTGTACTGCCTATGCTTTGATTTGGATTTATTTAGTAATTCTGCATTGGCCGCCTGTAGCAACTGGCAGAAAATAAGACTGATGTTTCCTATCAGATCATATTCATTGTGGCAAATGCAAAAACCTATGAAACTCTTTCTAATTTAATATAACTTTTTATGGTGATCTTCCACTGCTGACACTAGGTATTCGTTCTAATTATTATACATATATACACCAGTAATTATAATAATTGTGAAATTATTGGTTTGCTATAATTTAATGGAATTGTATCATCAGGTCTCTGTAAATTGTCATCTGTTCCATCTGGGGGTGCTGTGGCTGCAGCTCCTGCATCTGCTCCAGCTGCCGGAGGCTCTGCTGCTCCAGCAGGTAAGTTATTTTTCTTTATTCATAACACTGTGCTTTACAGTCTTCTAAACCCCAAATTTTAGTAAATTGAAAATAGGCATGCAAAGTTTTGACAAAGTTGCTTTAAAGAAAATACAAGCTTGATTGTAGACACACCCTTGCTGTTTTGGGCTAAATTGTTCAGGTTTCATTTCACTCTAATCCAATATTTGAACAATGTGCATTTATTCCAAGATAGTGTGTGTGTGTTTTCTCCAAGGAATAGTTTACATTAATTACCCAATACAAGATGCAGCTTTTTAACATTTCATTCATTTGCAAAAGTTTTAACTGAAAAGCAAAATCAAAACGTTTTTCTAAAGCCAGATTGAGATAACATGTTTATAACAATATACAACAGGCAGCCAGTCTGAGCACATGGCTGACAGACCCAAAATTGGATTGCGGGGGCATTATAGACTTTCCAGAACTACCTTGGAGTACCGACTCTGAAATCCCTAAGGTTTCAAGTACAAGTTGTCTATACCTGCGAAGCGCTGAATAGGTGTGGCATTTAGGCATATCTCCCCGTGGCCACCACTACATAAAAGGGCATGACATTTTGGAGTTTTTTTGCAAAGAACCCACACATGACAGTACATGAGAATACCTCACCCACTTTTTTTCAAGGTATTACTGGCAAATAACATTAAATTGCTGCCTACCCATAGTGCTTCTTGGTTCACTTGTGCCATCTATCATCTTTATTAAATCTTAAACTATTTATGCCTTTTTCATTTTCCATTTTGAGGAACAACTCAACATTTAAAATATTTGATTATTAGTTATGATAGTTTAAATGTTTGCCAATAAAGGCCATCAATATATATTTTTTTCTTTAAAAATTATTTGCACTTTTTAATAAACAATTGATTTTTGGTCTTTGCAGAAAAGAAAGAAGAAGTAAAGGAGGAATCTGAAGAGTCTGATGAAGACATGGGATTTGGACTCTTTGATTAAATACCTCTTTTCTTAAGATAATAAAACAAATCTAATTCAAATAAACTGGTTTCGTGTTTTTTCAAAGATAGAAAGAAATCACTGGTAAATCGTTGTGGATTGTACCGTGAATTACAAGAACAATGAATTAAGGCAAATCTAATTTGAGTCATATTTAGAGCGAATTTAGATGGCTTATGCTCATTGTTACAGCATATTTTCTCTATGGGAATTATAATAAAATCTTCAAATGGCAAATTTCTGCAAAAAAAAAAAAAAGCCCTATTTTTAGTGCATTAAAACAAATGATTGCTGCCAAATCACTGTTTTGTGGCTCTTCCTGCAAAGTAGACCCTTCCTCACCAGGAAGACACTCACCCTATAAATCCCTGCACCATGTGTTAACCACACACAAAGCTTCAAACCCTGGTGAAAATGTGAAATATCTCTTAACAGGTAGATTTTCATAAAGGAAATATCACACATGAAGCTTAAGTGGTTATAGTGATATTGAACATTTTAAACCATGTAGTGTATATTCGACTTGCAAGTTCCCACAGTCTGAAATGGTGCCAACATGTTCCACAGCACAATGGGTAAACAAGACAAAAATTAACAAAACATGTTTTACATAATGGGTCAAGAGGGCACCATTTAAAACCAAATTGAAGAATACAAATATACTTAACGAAACACTAACCACCAAAACAACTACATGTTAGTGTAGAGGATTTGAAAAATGCACCTCCAGTGCTGGTCAGTAGACTTACTAGAGACCCATCCTCCTTAAACCCTTTGATTTTGAAGGTCTTCTTGCTCAGCGTCATGATGACATGAAATATCTTCACATACAGAAGTATGAGAAGCATTGGATTAGACCAGAGTTATGTCTTGGTAATCCCTGGCTGCAGAGAAGACACTGTCTCTGTCTCTAGCCTGCTACATTTCTGCTATCAGGTGGGCTTGCTCCATGAGAATATTCAATCCATTCCAAATACATTTTCAGATAATCTCCTATTCTCCTATTTAGTCATGTAACCTTACTTCTGCAACATACCACAACTACACCCACATTCATATTCTCAATGGACATCTAATCTCCCCTAAAAAAAAAAGCTTTGTTTTCCTGACACTATAGTGATCCTTTAGATAATGTATCGCATAACTGAATAATAAATAGACTAATTCGCATTTGATACATGGTAATCATATTCTGATTTTTTTTTCTCTCTAGAACAGTTCATACATGTTTAGGATTTTAGACCATTGTGACTTCATTAGACATATTAGGTGTGTCTGTCAGGAATTGCACAGTTTGTACTAATTCTGTTCTAATAAGCAATGTCACATATTCTATGATGGAACATGTCATTTCATGTCAATTTATATGTGAGAGCAAATCAGTACTAATTATTTAGTACAACACCCCTCATTGTTAATAGGCTGAGTATTCTATTTTGTTTCACAAGCTCAAATAGTCAAATAGAGAATATCTGCTGTTTCATGTATGAAGCAAATAGTGTACCTGTTAAGGATCTTTTGGACATGAACATTCACTGCTCTCCATTCCATATCTCTAAACCACATACACACCTAACGTATGAAATATTGTTATGTAAAGCGTACTTTGAAAAGCATTACATAGTTAAACTAAAATCCAAATAAAAAGCACAAAAAAACAAAAATGAACTTTGTGTTAAAGGCAACCTGTTATGACTCACCTCACTCTCCGATCCAGTGTCACTACGCCTTCTCAGAAATGTGAGCTTTACTTCTTTAAAAGGCCCTGTCAGTGCACTTCTCTAAGCAGTACAATTATCCTGTGTGACACCAACGTGCTAGCTACATTACCACAGGTCAGTTTTCCCATTACTATCTAAATAGTTGGCCTTGGCAGCATTGGTTAGGAAGTTACCATAGGAACCACTGAACATTAACTGTGGTTTCTATGTGTGGAACAGAGAAGAACCACCTGTGGGAGGTCATTTTTGCTATCCCTTGTTAGTCAATTCTTCGACATAATATCTATCCTGAAGTATTGATTGACTAGTGGGAAAAAAAACCTTAATTTTTCATGTCATAACGTGGCATTAAAATTAGTTAAGCCTGTGACACAAAAGTTTTTATTGTTTGCTTTAATTTAAAAAAACAAAGCAAAAATACCTTTTTTTTGGGGGCTGCATAAGTGTTTACCCATGGTAAACTGTGCTGCAAACAATTACCTTCAGAAGTGACATCATTTGTTGAGTGGCATCAACCTCTCCACAATTAAATTATGTGGGTTCTGATGATACCAAAGCTAAACTGGACAAAATACTATGGGTCGAAAACCAACACTGCTCTTCACCCTGAGATCACCATCCCCACGGCGACGAATGATCATTGCATCATGTTGTATCAATGTCTGTATTCCACAGGTACTTTGAAACTGGTCAGGACTGAATGCAATATCGTCAGGGTTAAGAACAATACAGTTCTAGAGGAAATTCTGTTTCAATTTACAAGACATCTATGACTGGAGGAGAGAATCGCCATCCAACATGTTAATGCCCTAAAACACTCAGTCAAGACTAGGTAAAACCAAGAACCTGAATATCTTAGAATGGCAAAGCCCAGACTTCAATCCCATTAAGAATATGTGGACCGATTTGAAAACTGTTGTTACCCAACATTCTTACCTGGCAAAAATTGAAATTTTCTATTTGAATTTCTACATACAAAGCTGTAACCACATTTGTTTTAATTGTATATACAGTTTTAGTTTTGTTTTACAAGGAAATGTTAAAGGATGTTAACATGTATTGCTTGAAGGAAAGGCGAGACAGGGGGGATATGATAAAAATATTTAAATACATAAAGGGAATCAACACAGTAAAGGAATAGACTATATTTAAAAGAAGAAAAACTACCACAACAAAAGGACATAGTCTTAAATTATAGGGACATAGGTTTAAAAATAATATCAGGAAGTATTACTTTACTGAGAGGGTAGTGGATTCATGGAACAGCCTTCCAGCTGAAGTGGTAGAGGTTAACACAGTGAAGGAGTTAAGCATGCGTGGGATAGGCATAAGGCTTTCCTAGACTTAAGATAAGGCCAGGGACTAATGAAAGTATTTAGAAAATTGGGCAGACTAGTTGGGCCAAATGGTTCTTATCTGCTGTCACATTATATGTTTTTTAAAACAAATGGTAACAATGCCAATAAAATCAATTTAAATTGCAATTTTTTAACACTACAAAATGTGGAAATGACCAGGTTAATCTGAAAATGTATCATACTGTAGTTATATCTACTACTAAGCCATTTCCAAAGTTCACAGCTTATTATTGTGATTGATTGAAGGGCAGATGATATATTGCCAGAGAGAGTTGACGTGAGCCTTATTGACACACTGTGTATCTACTAGATACTATTGTACCTTAATTATATTTTATTGTTAGTGCATAACAGTGTTATAACAGTGTTATACTATGCAAGTTGCCTTCATCATTGAGAAGATCTACCCATTTCATTAGAAATAACCTGATATTGAGGAGAGTGGCTGTTGGAACAAGCCCAGAGGCTTAATTAAAAGCTCTGTCACATGTGTGTGTTCCATTATTAGAATAATCTTAACATTGGTCTTTGAGATGTTACGCTATAATGTTCTGTCTTGTTTTTAGGTCACTTATACAATTTTCTGCATGAGAGGTACATACAGATATGTATCAAAGTATAAAGTTTGGTCACAATTTTGTGTTTCACTTTGTATTTTTGTCACGTTTATTTGTGTTTTAGGGAGAGGGTACACATATAGTGTTGTAGCAACTTCTATAAATTGTATATTTTATATCACATTGATAGTTGACATTTAACACCTGTATAGAGCTTTGCACAATTACATTTTTTTTTTTAAATTCTGGATATATCCTTATAGCTCTATGAATACATAAAGATAATTATAATTTAGCTTGAATTGTGGCATATTTTTTGTATCTCTATTTTGCCTGTGTGCCTTTTTCATTACCTGCCTTATCTAAAGTTCAGAATGTTCTATAGCAGTAAAAGGCATAATAAGTACTTTACATAACTTTTACAAACATATCTGAACATGTTTCTGTTTTAGGTGAAATCAATTAATATTAAAGTGGATTTGCCACATTTCTGCAAAAATATTATAGTTGACATTTCTGCAAACAATTTAACCCTTGTTGAGAAAAATGTAATGCATACATATTATATACATTAAATATATTTATATATTACATATTTAATTTAAATATATGGCCCGAGTCAAGGACCTATTAGGATATATATATATATATATATATATATATATATATATATATATATATATATTTATACCAAACAGAAAAGTTGGTCGGCACTCATGGTCTTCTAAAAGGTAGCTTTTAATTTGGTTTTTAAAAAACAACAAACAATGCTAAATAGCGTCAATGTTTCAGTCCCTGATCGGGACTTTCATCAGGACGGCCAGTAGACAATATACCCAGTATTTGTTATGACCTTGTTTTGTTGGTAGTTGTGGCATCATCCCGGTCATCACTGCACGATGACTGCATTAAAAAAGATTTATCATAATATACAGCTGAAATAACCATGTTGGCTTACCAATAGGTAAATGGGTAATGAAAAGTCAAACTTTAATGAGCAACAACCAAATTTATCCAGCCAAACATTACTCTGTGCTGTGCTGCAGTAAATAGATCACAATAGATTACACATTCTCAATAAACAGGCAGTTATTGCTTCAGTTTGTCTTAGAATAGCATAATGAATTAGGTCTTACTGATGTGACTAAAATTGATGTGTTTCACACAGCTTTCTATCTTGGCTATGCATTTTGGCATTTGTATTTGAATTGCATGAGCAACATGATTTCATACTGGGAAGGATGAATCATTTATCAGGTACTTCATTATCATGTTCGGTTTGTTATATGACTTAGTTAGAAAATCAACTTTTTTAAAAATAAAAATGAAATTGTCTGCTGAGCATCAGATGCCCCTTTGAAGGTGACCACATGAAAGTATAAAATAGAGGAGGTTTTGGATGTCATTTTAGCATTTTCATTTGATACAGAGCAGATATATGATATGCATTAAGTATATACATTTAATCACTAGCACTTTATTTAGTTTTGACAC